ACAACTCTTCTTCCAAATCGATTGTAAGTCAATTTTAACTCATTTTCTTCAATCATTAACATCTTTTCACATGATTTCAACTCAAAATCAGTGATTTTTATGGGGAAAATTTGGTGTTTTGGATAGAACGTAGGTTTTTCAAAAACTGGGGATTTGGACCTCGATTTGAGGTCCGATTTCAAAATAAATTATATATTTGGGTTCGTGGTGGAATGGGTACATAATCGGGTTTTGGTTCGAACCTCGAGCTTTGACCATGTGGGCCTGATCGAAGCCAACCCTGCACTACTATTGAGTAGCGAGAGAGGTCGAAGCAGCTTTTACCCAATTAAGATCGGGATCGATTTCCACAAGGAGCTAGAAGTTGGAGTCGAGTGTCTATCTAAAGTGGAAATGTGTATTTGCTCTTAATTGCACTTCTAAACATTTTGGGTTTTGATTTACTTCTAATTGTATAGAACTATAATGATCAATTAAACTAAAATAAGCTAAGATTAAACTGCGAGTTGTTCAAATGGATAAAAGGCACTAGGATAGTAACTTTCGCCTATGTGGTCAATTGACGGATACTTAAGTCTAAGGCATGATTGTCACATTTGGGGAGTATGATATAACCATTGCACGATTCTACTAACTCTACACCTCTCGGTAGTTCGAGTGATTTTGCCCGAATTGACTTTTCTCAAGACCAATTGGGTATGTAAATTTGCATAAGCAATCAAGGTTCAAGTCGGGTATTACTATCTCTAGGTTTAACCCTTTAATTGGGGCTATCATTCTCTTGAGTACGCCCCAATTCCTTGTTGAACCAATTTCAGAGACTTAGGCTCTCTTTCTCAAGAAGAACCAAAATCAACTAAACACAAACTAGTGTTTGCAACCACTAATTCAGCAATCAAACATGAAATTAGTTCAAATATCAAACACTCATGGTCAATCAAGCACTAAAACACAAGACTCATCAATTACCCACACTAGGGTTGAGCCACAACCCTAGCTTACTGGTCTAGCTACTCATAATTAGAGAAGAAAACAAAGAAGTAGATGAAGAAAAACTCATATTAATTAATTGCTAAATTAAACTTGAAGATTCAATGTTGAAATGAAGCTAAAATTAACTCAAAATAGCTAAAATATTCGAAGTCACGAGCGCAACTAGAGTACAAAACTATTTGATGACCTAAAAATGGGAAAAGAAGCTATTTATACTAAGCTGAAAAATCTGGAAAAAAATACCCTTGCGGGGTTAGTGCGGACCGCACAAAATCACGTGCGGCCACACTAGGGCTCTGAACTTGAATAAATGGCTCTCTGAACTTGGGCAATGCGGATAGCACAGAATCGAGTGCGGCCGCGATGGCCTCTAGTGCGGTCCGCATGAAATAGAGCGCGTACTGCATTGGGCTTCAACTTGGAATTAGCAACTCTCTGAACCTTGGCTCTGCGGACCGTACTAAATCGAGTGCGGCCGCATTGATCCTAATACGGACCGCACAAAATCTTGTGCGACCGCATTGCCTTTTTGCCTGAATAGCAGTCTCTCTGAATCTTACTTGTACGGATCGCATAGAATTGTGTGTGGCCGCACTGGCTCTGTTTTGCCTGAGCTTTATCTTGTCTTGATACTTGTGCAAGGTTCACTCCTTTTTGAGCTGATCTTTGACATCTTGTCACCTTATTGATCAAACCTGCAATCAAACTCAATTTGTGAGCCTTTTGGGACTATTTTGTACATTTCTAATCAAAACTTTAGCATGAAGAAGTATAAAATGTATCAAAATCCCTAGTTATCAACTCCCCTAAATTTAAGCTTTTGTTTGTCCTCAAGCAAATAAAATAAGACTCACCCCTTAAGAGAAAATTCAAGAAAATTCAGTTGTCCTAAAGTGACCTCATCTAGCATCAATTGGGACTAACAATTGCCCTCAATACAAATGAATCATTAACAACATTTACTCTTTTAAACACCATGGATTAAGTGCGATACAAGAGCATCAAGAATTGACTCAACACATCAAAGAACTCTTTCTATTACTTTGGTCATTGTTGAACCCAAACTCACACATCCTCAGCTCTCCCTGAGCAAACCTCACCTTTAGAATAGTGGCACTCAGAACGAGGTTAATGGAAATTCACTCATCTCTCTTAAGGAAAAGTTACAAGTCCGACTCTAAGTATCATATGTTTTCCTCTTATGTGAGTCACCACTAATGTAAGTTTCATTCAACTCAAGATCATATAGGACTTTTGTGGAGACATAGTGAATGCTTTTGGTTCCGGGTAGGCAATGTTTGGTCTAAGTAGGTTCCATCTTCCCTCAAGCACTTCTTTTGTTTCATTTTGGCACACATTCACTTGACTTTTTGAGTCTTTTCACTTCTTTCGAAGGGGTTAGAGAGACACACTATCACTCTTTCTTATACATTTCAAATCTTTTCTCTTTTCTCAATTTTCCACACCTTTCATTCTTTGCTTTTCCTGAAGCCCTTTTTATTCAATTCTACATTGAGCATTCTTTTTGTCTTTTTGCTTTTCTTTCTTTTTCATTGTCTTTCCTTTTCTTTATTTGTACCATTTTATCACTTGTTGTCATCCTCGTCTCTCCCCCCAGACTTATACTTTTGTCATGTGCTAAGGAAAGATCGGGTGCCAAGAGAGGGTATCTTTTAGAACGGGTAAAGGCTTGTATCATGGTTCTTGAAGGAAAAAAGTCTAAGGCTCAAAAGGGTTGACTAGGGATTTTATCCTTGGTAGGCTATGGACGTGTTCAAGCTATCATTTGGATCAATGAGAGCCTATAATCATGTCTCAAGTCTAAATTCACTTAGGATTTCGCCTCAACAACATTCAGGGCAAGTTCTAGACCAATAGCGAGACTTGGACTTGTAATACAATTTCTCACCACACAAGTTATGGGATCACTAAAAACATAAAGTCAGGGGCCCACAACGACCTTAGATAAGATTTGAGCACACAATAGTCCCGAAAAACCACATGATGATTATCGGTCAACACAAGAGTCTCAAGGTCACGACTTTCACCATCCTAAACACAACAATTTATTTTTGACCATGAGATCAAAGGCAAATGTGCTAGGCCCAAGTGAAGCTTTGCTTGAGGCACCCTTAACCACTAACTACTAAAAGCAAAAAGAAAAACGGACTCAAACCCTTAAGAAGGTTGTCACGTCATCCATCATTGGGAAGAGCCACCCGGTTCACACAAACTCCACCTTTGGAAAGAACCGTGGCATTAAAAAAAACCAAAGGCTTATTGCAAACGTTCAAAACAAGAAGCTACGAAAAAGAAAAATTCGAAAAGTAAAATAAATATTTACAAGAGGGGATTTAATCGAATATACAATAGAAGGGATGAATATATACAATGTAACATAAACTTTATATACATGCCCAAAGTAAAAAGTACGAAAAATGTAAAGAAGTGCTAAAATTATATACATACCAAAGATGAAAAATAAAGAAAGCATAAAAAACTATCAAATAAATACAATCATCTAACAAATTAATGTAGGGCCTACCCCTCAAATGAAAGTTGGCATTGTCCTCAATGCCAACTAAACAAAATAAGCACAAAAAATAAGAGGGAAAAGTGTATAGATGCTCCCTATGGCCCGTCTGTCTGCATGCACTACAAGAATTCGGACCTACTGTGGCGACTAAAGTCGCTACAAATGCATATATAGTCGCCACTAAAGACATACAGCGACGACCTGAAGGTTGCTGCAAGCACTACCATTACTGAATGTTTTTTGCGACGACTCTTTAAAGTCACCACAAAAAGTCACTATTGTAGCGACTCTACTCGCCACAAATAAGTAAAAAAAATATCCCACAAAAAAGCTCCACGAAACAAACCTTAGATAGGGCGCTACTAAAGAATGACATTTAGTAGCGCTTGTACTCACCACTAAAACTACTATAGCTGCAGTGGCAACTCTAGTCGCTACAATAGCTTGATAATCAGTAGCGGCCTTATGGCTGCCACATATACTAATTGCTACTGTGACAAGGTTTAGTCGCCACTAAAACCTGTTTTTCCCAACAATAGCCAACATCTAATACATTTTCATCAATTGCTATTAAAATTAAAATCAACCAAAATTATTCACTAACCAATAATCAAGTCAAATATTATAAATGCTTTCATTATCACAAAGTGAGTTAGATATATACTACACAAAACTTCATTGCTCATTGTCATTGTATGCATATACATACAAAAAAAAAGGAAAAATAAATTTAATTGTCTTCAAACTCTTCCTTGGTCAACGTCATTTGTGGTTGTTTAAGAACCTTGTTCCTGTTATTAAGAAAAAGATAACATATGACCATTTTGACAATCTCATAATTTATATAATGCTAACATTAAAAGGGGTGACCAAGATAAAATTGTAGTAAGATTAAGCTATTTATATCAGCTGATTGGGAAAAAACCATCGATTTTAGAAGGACTATATACAAAAATCTACCAATATCAAATACATTAACCACTACAAGTAGATCAAGAGGCACCAGAAATGTACACTAACTTTAAGGGCAACTCCAGAAGTGCTCACCGGAGGAGCTAACGTAATACAAGCTGATTAAAAAAAGATATAACTTTGTTCACCTATTCAAAAATGCCTGTAGGAAACTCCCAAGTGCCAGTGCATTTTTCAATTTTTTCTTTAACTACCGATACCTGCCAAGAGGAGTAACTTGATTCCTCTTAGAAATGTTATGGCAAACTAGTCTTACCTATCATATTAATTACTCCTAACTTAAGTGGAACACTAATTAAACTTTATAGACCTGTCCATTGTTGTCCAGAATGAGAGCAACAATACCAACATAATGAGAAGCATTAGCAGGTTGTGTGTGAGGAGTATCTAGAATTCAGTAGACTAGCATCAAGTGTGTTGCTACAGCATAATAATACCAAAATCCTTCCTCTAATAACCACCATCTAGATTTGCGGCCCATAGCCTAAAAAATAGTATGTCTAGAACATCTGTATACAACTAGAACCAGAAGCATTCTTCAAGCCAAAATTACAATATTGTAATGATACAGTTAACTAAAACAATTGACTTTCATCAACTCCCAAGGAAGAGTTTCCAGTAAAAGTTAATAAGCATTTAACTGTCAAAAAGAAAAACTTAGATAGCGAGTATATTCCCAAAACAAAGAAGGTGAAGCAGAGACAAAATACCAAATATTTGTATTATAAGGCAAAACATTCACCTTAAGTAAAGCCATCAATTTGCCACAATAAAAATCTAGTTAGAGAGATGAAATTACAATTACATATTTATGGACTAAATCATATTATTAGTAGTAACCCCGAACCATAAAAAAACAGGCCAAGGAAAAGGCTACTCTACTCATCCTCCAGCCAACTCCAAAAGCAAAAACTAGCACAATGAAATTTTCATTCTTTCAAACACCAACTCAATGCATATAAATGCTGCACCAAGACAAACCAATAGAAGGAAACAAAAGTCTGCTTTATTTGAATACACTTCATTTTGGCCCTTCAAGATCAAACTATTATGTACCTCTCTTTTATGTTTTGTTTTTTATTGAGGTTCGTTATGATGTCCTTTTCTTCGTCAGTAACTTCTTAACAACAAACCATCTAGAAGGAAGAAACTGGAGTCTGTTTCACTTAGATACCAAGATTTAAAATTGAATCGATCTTCTAAATACCACTACTCAAGAAAAAGAAAACCTTCCACTAGCATATTTTGGTTCTGAAAAAACACATGCCAAAGATATAAAGGTGATCTGCAAAATACTAATTGTAAAGACATTAAACAAAAGTATTCAAAATTAAATTTATCTCTAAACTGTCTTCAAGGTCAAGCATTGACAGATGATTTGGTCAATGGACCTTAGGCAGCAAAATACATTTGATCTACTTGTACTTCTAGATTCTAATTTCAAGTAGACATTATTCATTATCACAAATGGCACCAGTAAATATATTCTCAGAGCTGGAAGTATGGAAGCAAAAGAAAATGCAGCGGCAACCATCTTTAGTTTGTAACTTGAAAATGGGATAATAATAATAATAATAATAGGTGCATCAGGGGACAACCGCCTCATGGATCAACTATTTCTTTTTACTGTATAGAGTACAAGCATACATGATAATGATCAGCAAAAGTGAACATATGGATGGTCCGTTTATATGTCAAATGGAATTCAAGCGCATGAAATTAATGTTCAAACTAGAACCTGCCAAACTAACATGATGTTGTGTACAATTAGCTATCTCTGAAGGTGTCCTAGTTCACATTGTCCAAATTCAGCAAGAAAACGAGCCAAAGATGCCCAGCAAGCTCCAGCTTTCCTTTTTATTAGTAAAAACAACCTTGTCACAGACAAGGAAATAGCAAAACCCATGATAGATATTAGATATAATTCCAAGAAACAAACAATTATACATCAAATAAATTTTACCAAAATGAGGGTGATTTAACTTTAAATGATTATGGACACTAAGAGAAAGTCTTCTATAATTTAATTCAGAGAATATATAGAAAATCACAGAAACATAAATACACATGTGCGCTTACCATTAATTGAATCTATTCTCTAGATCTCTGAACCAAACCAGCCGAGCAGCCTTTTGATTCCGCCATGCTCGCTTAATGAGCTCCGCATCAGTCGCCGAAACCTAATATTCCCAATAATCATCCCCCGAATCCATTTGCTCATAATCTAACGATTGTAGGCCTTAAGGCAGAGAGCAGAAAATCTATGTGCGTTTCTTACAATTCTCTTCACATTGAGTTGATTCACTAGGGTCGGGTAGATTTAGGTTAGATTAGAGCAAATAATATGGAGGAGAAAGATAAGAGAGAGAAAAAGAGACGCTTGAAGGGAGAAGGGAAATCGCCCATGGAACTTAACAGAGAAGCGATGTGTGGAGGAATTTTGGGGAGAGATATAGGGTTTGCTTGGGAAAGGCCGAATGGAATTTTGGGGGAAATAAGATTTGGGAACTAAACCTATAAACTTTAATGTACATTTACATATCAAAACAAAATAATCAGAGGCGACCTAAAATTGCCACAAGAAGGTCTACTTTAAGTATCGACCTAATCGCCTCAATTGATCTGTTGTGGCGACTATTTATCAGTTGCCACCAAATACATGTTTGTATTAGAATCTGGTACGCAATAGCGGCGCCTTTGCTTGAGCCGCCACTAAAATGTTATTTTTTGTAGCGAATCCTGAAACTATCTTTTTTTGTGGCAACATTGTCGGGTCGCACTAAAACCCCTACTTTTGTAGCAACTAGTTGTGTCGCCACAATAAGTCGCTACAAAAAAAAAACATATTTCTTGTAGTGATGGCAACCTGAGTGGTCCATGGGTCCTCAATATGCTCGAGAACCTTAGACTGGTTCCTTATGGCCTGCTGGGACCTGGGCCTGGACCTGGACAGGCTCCTAGGTTGCATCCTGTGGCTGACTGAAGGAGGTCTCCAGTGGGTCTGCCAACTAGATGACTGCATCATCTGCTCGGGGAATCATCCTCTTCCTCTTGGGAGGCCTCTGGGACTGCTCTGGCTGGGGATGAGCTGCTGGCACAGGGTCCTATAGCAATAAATCCAAAGGCAGTTGATCTGCCTTCAACCTGTCAACCTCAACCCTCAACTCCTTCACGGACTCCTTGGAAGCCCGAGTCTTTCTCATCTGCTTGGCCTCCCTAGCAAGCTCCTTGAGAGCTTTCCCATAAGAACCCACAGCCTCTGTAAGCACTTTCTGAGTGTCCAGGATCTTCTTCTGGTTGTCCAAGATATCCTTGAGGGCGTCCTTAATAGACTGTGGGACCTGCGAAGGCGGAGGTGCCGACTGAGCTGCCACTGTAGATGTAAGGACAGACAACTTAGAGGAAGTTGTCTGCATCTAGTTGTTGATGTTGAGAAGGGCCTGGCTCAGACGGTGGGCAGTCACTGGGTGGGCTGTGGTAGAGGGTATGTCTAGAACTGCTGAAGTGGATGGACCAGGGGCAAGTCTGCTGAGGTGGACGAAGGCTGAGTAGGAGCCACTACCACTACTGGCTCTTCAGACTGGCCAGTTGCAACAGTGGTTGTTCCCTTGTAGTTCTTGCTTTTAGGGTTGTCATCACCTTGCATGTTGTACCATGAGAACGGGGTATTTGCTTTCACTTTGATATCAAATGGCCGCTTTTCTACCTTTAGGTCTGTGAAGTACATGGTTAAGAAGCTAGGGAAGGGGTAGTTTCTGTCACCTTCACTGCCTACCTGTGTAATCACCCGAGACATCACCTTCCCAACGTTAATCGGGTACCCCGCCATGATTGATGCTACTAATACTGCCCGGTGAAGAGGGAGTGAGTTGTCATGAGTAGTGGGATCCAATCTGCTGCACACGAATGTTTCCCACCCCTTGACCTCGAAATGCAAACTTCTTCTCAAAATCTTTACTCCTGCATTCAGCCAATCGGGGGTGGTACCTGGGATTGCTAGATACTGTGCCAACCAAGGACGAACCTCCTCACCTAATTCCATCTTTGCCAAATACAACGACTTATCCTCCTCATCCAAGCCCAAGTAGTCATTTATTGTTTTCCCATCAAACAACACTTTCAAATTGCGCACCTTGGTCACTTTGATGCCCTTCTTGATGTGGGCAACATTGGAGTAAAATTCCTTGACCAGGTGCTCGTTTGCATCCTCACAATTGTTTAAAAAATATTCCCAGCCCACTCTCTCTCTAAACTGCCGTCTCACATTGGGGTTGTGAGGCAAGAGGTCTCTATCAACAAAACTCCTCTCCGGAATTAATTTCCTCACAGGACACCATTCTCTGAATTTATGGTAGGCCACCTCACTCACAAACCGGTCTTGCCACACCTCCGGTTTTCTAGTTCTAGCAATTCCTCCCACCTAAGGTTCACCCCCTTCTCCTACTACCTCTTCTTCTCCTACTGCCCCCTCTTCTCCTACTGCACCATCACCGGATAATGAAGCTGTGGGAGAGGTGGAGTATTCATCCCCACTGCCTTCAGCTGAGCCCTCAGACAACCCAGAAGATACATTTACTGAAGCTTGAGCAGTGGGGGAAGGGGGAGGAGTGTCTCTCGGTTTGTTTCTCTCTGGCTAGTCAGGGATGTACTTTGGGATTGAGTCTGAAGATATATCCTGGGAGGGCTCGTATTCACTCCCAGACTGGTCAATGGCCCTATCAACAGCTTTAATGAGCTTCATCGTGTTTTTAATGTTTTGCCAGGCTTTGGGAGTCAATCTTAGCATCTTTTGTTTCCCTCCCCGGGAGGATTCTCCTCTACCAGCTTGTTTAGAACCCTTACCTCTTTGTTTCACCATTGTCTGCAAACAATAGCCATTAGACTTGTTAGTATTAGTAGAAGCAATTAAGTTCACAGTTGCAGAAAAGAAAAGGTTGCAGACAGTAGAAGATATTGCACAGTACGGACCGTACAAAATGCAGTGCGGCCACACATAGGTCAATGCGAACTGCACAAAATATCAATGCGGTTCGCACAGAGGTGGGGGTCAGACTATCACTCTCTGAACAATCGCTCCGCGGACCGCACGAAATGCCAATGCGGTCCGCATTGAGGCACCGCAGACCACACAAAATGCAATGCGGTCGTGGTCCTTAATGATCAGATTCCAGGACTTGTAGCAATGCGGTCCACAGAAAATTCCATTGCGGACTGCACAAGAGCACCACGGACCACACAATTTCCACCACGGTCCGCACTAAGTGCCTAGTCATAGCACTAACTTGGGGTTCAAGATAATTTGATTTTTAGTCCAATTGTACACCTAAGAAAGGTCCCTAAGTCTTTGCCCAGTGTTTTTAACTACCTAATCTAACCATAAACAAGAATTTACTAACCCTAGTCTACATTACTGAAAGAAATAAGGGTATGGCAAGAAGAAGAACAAAAACAAAAATTAAAAGAAAATAACAAAATTAAAACAATTAAAAAGAAGTTAAAGTTACCAGTTGAGAGAAGAACTAAAGATTAACAATTCCTAGCAGTTAATTACGAGCAATAGGGATGATGAACAGTGATTTTATGAGTTTTGAGAGCAAAAGGATCGAAAAGTTCAAATATTGGGCCTTAGGTACTATTTATAGAAAAAATCCTGGGGCCCAACTTACCTACCCCAATGCAAACCGCAAAAAATGGCAATGCGGTCCGCACAAAATGCATTGCGGCCGCAGTGGACCACCGCAGACCGCACTAAATGCAATGCAGCCGTGATGGTAAACTTCAGAGAATAGGTCTTTTACTCCTTCATCAGTGTGGTCCGCACTAAGTTTGTGCCCTCCGCATTAGGTTCTCTGCGGCCGCACAAAATGTAGTACGGTCCGCATTGAAAACTTCAGAGACTTGAACAATTTTTTCCACCATGTCCTGCACTGCATTAATACAAACATGTAACATCTCATAACCAGTCAGTCCAAAAATAAATCCTATCCTACAATGTAAATCAATGAAAAACAAGAAGGAAAACACATGGGTTGTCTCCCAAGAAACGCCTGATTTAACGTCGCGGCACGACGCAGGTTACCATCAAATCATTTGAGATGAAGAAGTGCCACCACGTGGCTGTCATCAATCTTTCCCAAGTAGTGCTTGACCTTATGCCCATTAACTCTGAAAACTTTTCCATTTTTGTTTTTTAAATCAAGCGCACCAAATGGGGTCACACACACCACTTCAAAAGGTCCACTCCATTTTGACTTAAGCTTTCTTGGAAACAGACGTAACCGAGAGTTGAACAAGAAAACCAAATCACCCACTTTGAACTCCTTGCTA